ACCTTCTGCCCAGGCCCTGCCACTTTTCATCACAAGAATGAGTGTTGGCCCTCAGCCTCCTGTGCCACCTGCCTTTCTGATGGGCTAAGCCTCTTCCCGTGAGCACTCTCTTCATCCAGCTGACTTAGGTCAGTGGAATGGACTCTAGTGCATGAGGACACAAGTTGGTGCTTCTTCAGCCTGCTCTCATTCAGAACACCTTGGGAGGTCCCCGAGTCACATTTCTACTCTCTGTCCTTGAGTGCAAATGCAGGGCCCCTCCATGGATTTCCTCCACCTGGATCTGTTGAGTTCTATTGCTGGCTGCTGCTTCTGGAATCAGGGTCCCCTGAAATCCCAAGGTCTCTAGCTCCCTATATCTGAATCTCCTTTTTAACCTGGACTCTCAATGGGGTTTCCTGGTTCTTGCAGCCAAAAGCACTTGGCTTTTTTATTCTTAATTCCAAGAATTCTGTCCTGTTCTGGCTTCACTCCCTCTCCCCCCTTAAATGGACAGTGACAGTAACTTTCTCTACGATTCTCCAAAGTAACCTTTAAATTGCAGGCTATTTAGCTAGATGGGGCCTGAGAGAAAGCCATCCCGAGCTGTTTCAGAGATGAGGAGGCTGAGGCCCAGAGAGGGTGGAGACTCGCTCAGGCTCACACAGCAGTGATGGTAGGCCTGGCACAAACATGAGGTTTTTACACTTGGTCAGTGGTTCTTTCAGCTATATCAGGCCATGCCTTTCTTTTCTATTTCATCCTTTTCCTTTCGTTTTTTACTGAAAAATTCTTCCCCCTTTTGAAGTGGTCTCTCTGTTAAGCAGGGCAGCTTGCTTCTGGTGGCACCAAGGTGGCACTCGGAGTCAAACCCCCTGTCCTGGTCTGGGATTCCTTTAGCCCTTTTGAAAAGTCTCATCCACTTAGGTCTGTAGGGATCTTGCCCCCCTTTCCTGGAAGCAACCTCTTCAGCTCTTATTCTCCCTCCAAGTCCTGAAGAGGCAGGTGGGACCCACAAGGCTCTGGCTCCACTCTCTGACCTTAGTTTCCTGGTCTCTAAATTGGAGTGAGGGTGTCAGAAGAGGAAATACGGATATTTGTGCACATGCATGTAGCTACAGGTGTGCAGGTGTGTGTGCATATGTGTGCTTGTACACACCTCATATATCTCCCAGGTTGTTCCTGGGGGTAGATGGGAAAGTTAATTAGCATCACTATGTGAGGTGCAGAGAGTAATTGGGTAATATCAGGAGAGCTAGGAGAGTGGGGAAAGAGACCCCTTGACCTCCAGGGGGTTGGGACACCCCTGACCCCACTCCTGCAAATCTGTCAGACACCTGGAGAGGCAGGGGGAAGGGAGCAGTCTGAGTGAAGGGTCTTTGTCTTTACAGGGAAATGCTTGTTCGTTGCTAAGGAGCTGGGTTGTCTTTCCTGATCCAAGCCTCCCAATGTTTTGCTGAGCTTGGGTGGGGGATGCTGGGCCAGGGCTTGAGGCTCCCTTGACAGTGAGTTTTTTCTCTGGGGCTTCAGAGCCCTGATGGATCGATCTCTTGGGAAGGTCTCTCCTGGGGGAGGGTGGCTCTTTCCCATTACCCTAAGCCTGGCCACTGGCTCCAGCTGACTAGGGAGAAAAGTGGGTGAGGTGGAGGCAGGGAAGGAGAGGAAAATGTACATTTACTGGACAGCCTGCATATAGGCCATCGTACTTGGGTGCCTTCCATGCTATCTCATTTAGCCGTTGCAACAGATCTTTAAGGTAGGCACTCATTTTCATTACACTTTTTTCTACAGTTGAAATAAAGGTCCAGAACAGTTGAGTGAGTTGCCAGAGGTCCCAGGGTTATCGAGTGGTAGAAATTCTATGTTAATCTAGGGCTGCTAGATAGATGAAATTATGCTTTTATAACTGTACCACCTAATGCATCTACCGGGTTCTCAATGCATCTACCAGGCTCTTCGTATCTTAAGACTGCTTGGCCCAATTTTAAACCCACCGCCTCCACCTTGGCCACCCCCACCCCCTCCACCTCCACCTCTATCTCCACCACCTCTGCCACTGCTGTCATCATCATTAGAAAGTCTCCCTGAATGGTCCTCCTTTTCTACCTTTCTTCCTTTTCTGAGGAACAGTTATTACATTGGCCAGGTTCTAAGAGGGAGATTCAGTGGATTAAGGGTGGTGAACTTGGCCTTGGGCAGGTGGGAGGAGGTGGCATGGCCTTGAACTGGGCCAGGCCAGCTGTGATGTGAGTATTCAGACCTGGCTGTCCCCACAAATCACACTTGATCTAGGGTAACTGAAGCTGGGGGTAAGGAAGACACTGCCTTGGGCTATTCCCCTTAAATTCCTATGGAGCTTCCAGCCTTTGGCCCATCCTGGCTTCTGAATAAACAGAAGCTCTGGTCTTTACTTTCTATAGCTCAGAGAGTAAAATTAGAGCACTGTTTACTTTTGAGTGCTAAGAGTGAGAAGACTTGAGTTAACACCAGACTCTACCATTACTAGTTATAGAATAGGGAGTAGGTTTCTTATTGGATTCTCAGTTTCCTCACCTATAAAATGAGAACAACACCACCTATATTATTAGGTTGTTGTGACAATTGAATGAGTGCATATGTATGAGGCTTTGGTGGGTGCCAGGCAGCACAGGAATGCTTTAAGTGGGGGTGCCACACACTGGGCGGTTGGCCGGGTAGCTGGTATGCAGAGAGCAAACAACAATTGGCATCTGATAAGGATGATGATCTCAGTCCTCCTTATGCTGTAAAGGGGTCACTAATGCTCCCTGATATTTTCCTTAGCTGCTGCATTGGGGATGGGGATATACATGCTAATTTTGTTGTTGGTGGTGAGGTAGTGAAAAGGGAAGGGGTAAGAAGGCCAAAGAGTCTTCAGGCAGAGAGCTGAGTCAGGGTGGGTTTCCCCAAGGTCTCCAGGTTTCCCCCACCCTCTGCCCTGCCAGCCGTGGCTACCTCCTCTGTGGCTTCCAGGGGCCATGTGGTCAGACTGGCTTGAGCTGAGAGTCTGGGCCAGTTTTGGATTTTTTTCACATTTGGAGGCTAGGGGGGTGGGGGTTTCTCCTGTAGCTGAACTAAAAGCCAAAACACCAGGGAAAATGATAGGAGGGGGGGGAAAGGGAAGGAAAGCAAGCCGATAATTTCCTCGAAGGATAAACATCCGATTTTTTTTTTCTTGCCCAAAATAAACATGCTTGCCACAAGGAATTAAAAGCAGAAGAGGGGAGGATGTGTCTGAGTTTGGGGCGGCTCTAGGAAGCTGACCTGCTATTTATCCTGCTCTTGGGCACCAATTACACTCTGGGCCTGGTGGCGTGAGCCCTGTGGGGAGAAGGACCCAGGCAGTGTTAGGTTCACACATGCTCAGGAAATCCTTCCAGAGCCACCTTCCATGACCATCCAAATGGACACTTCCTTTTTGCTTTGCGTTCTAACTGCTGGCACGCTTGTCTGCGCCAGTAGAAAAGAGTGGGGGACTTCCGGCTGTCTGGGCTGGCATCAAGTGATCTTCGAGAGAACAAGGTCTGGTGTCCATCACTAGGCAGGGAGCTGACTTTGTCAGTTGGGAGTGGACAGGACAATCCAACTTCCTCCCCATTTGCAAACTGTCTCCCACCCATGTGGCCTTCAAATCCCCACCACTAAAAGCTTCTAGCCAGTTGAGAGTGTGCACAGCAAGGGTGAGGGCTGGGCCAGGGTCTTCCTGCTTTCCAGCAAATGGGGGCATGGCTCTCAGAAGGCAGCCCCACTGATGTGCCCCTTTCTTCTGGGGATCGTAAGGCACGTGCCCACAGGAGTTGCCAATGTTGCTGTATTATAGCCAGTACAGGGGGTTATTAACTCTTGGAGGGAAAAATCGAGTGGAGGGGCATATTGTGGGCTGGGAGAGTTGAAGAACCATGATAAATGAGATGGTAGTAAAGGGGTGTCTCCCAGAAGTCCTTGGGTGGGCATGCCAGGAGACATCCAGAGGAAGGTCTGCACCCCAAACCTTCTGTCACAGATACTGTGGTTTTCTAAAGGCATAAATTAGATGATGGCCCCTGTCTTCTCCAATTAACTTACCATTTGGTGACTTTCCAGTGCTTTCAGGGCACAGCCCACACCTTTAGCATGGCTGCAAGACTTGGCTTGTTTGGGTCTTTGTCCAGCCATTCTTGCCCTGGCTGCACCACTAGCCTGTCATTTCCTGGAAGATGCCACACGTTCCCTGCCAGCCACAGGACCTCGGAGGTGTTCGCTCTCTTTGGCAGGCTCTCAACCCTGTCCCCACTCAGACTGAGCCCCTCCCCTGAAGCTGAACTTCGTGTCCTTTGAGAGGCTTTGCCTGAAACTTTACCGCTCCTCTGTTGTGAAGCTGGCCCTGTCCACCCTCATAGCCTGGACACTCTGTTGTAATTTGCTTGTGGTCATTGGATGCAGCTTTCCCTCCCTTGCTGGACTGAGCGCGCTGCGAGACAAGTCCCACGTTGTATCTGCCATGCTGTGTACATATCCTTGGGGTCTAGTGAACATCAGCTACCTTACCAGGTACCATAAGTATTGTTAGGTAAGCAGTGTTGGATACTGAAGCTGATAAACCAAA